ATCAGACTTAAGCCTCACTGACAGAGCAAGAACAGCATACTCCGAATCGATAACGTAATGCCGATATCGTCTGGTAATAAACTTATTTGTGTCATTCGTATCTTAGAAAAATGCATGGGCCAAACGATCAACTTGTAAAAAATCCCGGTCTTGCTCGATAGCAGCTTCGAGATATCGTCCACATCACTAATGACATCACCAATTGCAGACTTATGTCCTTCGATGTATCGAGTGTAAACTCACGCACACAGAGATAACGACTGTATTCGATCCTTCCGCCGGGGTAGTAGAAACGCTCATTATATCCTCAGTCCAAAATTGTAAATGGCGGCCTCCCATCGACCAGTGATCCTTCTTCGACCAGCAAGGCAACAGACAACAATACGAATCAGTTCGTTCTTGAGACTTCAGATCCACTTGCTGTGACGTTGTCAGCATCCTAAACGTCCGCACACCTTCCGGAATATCTTGGTACCGAATCCATCCATCAACAGCCGCACATTCGAAACATCATGTTGTCTCCGCAAAGTTTTGTAGATACGTTTAGCTTCCACGAGTTCGCACTCCAATACTAAAAAACATGCGACCTTGCCCCATTCGTAGCCCAGATAAAGCAGTCAATTTTCTTCCTCAAATTCGGTCAATTTCCGCTACACCAGTACTTAGTACATATTTTTTGCGCTTGAAAACGAGTGGAAAGCTATCACACACAACGAACGAGCCCATCAGGATACTCCATTTGTTTGGATATATGTATTGGGAGACTCTTGAAACCACCGATCCAACAGCATCGAGATAATTAAATTGTCTCGATAGAATAAACAAATTGTTTATCCTCCATTCGCCAATACACTTTACCACGATTGGTGCATCCATCCATGCTGCTCATGGATCTCGACATCAAAGGAATCTCTCGCACAGTGTTAACCCTCCAGCCATCCAGTGAGCTGTATTCCTCAGCATATTTCTCTGTTCGTTGAGTGCAATGGTCCTTGAAAGTGGCAATTCAGATCTAAACCAAACAGTATCCGCAACGTGGTCTGGCAGCTTCACCAGCACGTGCACAGGAATTTTTCCAGCGTTCACATCTTCCTTCGTGAGTTAGAAGTGCACGTCTTCCTCCTACAAGCTAATCAATCATTTAAGTGGTGCCCCCACAGCATCTAACAGTGACAGGACAATGGTATCCTACCTACCCTTCTTCATCTCGTCTTCGTCCGCTACACGCCGTCTTTCTTCACCAGGAACAGATCCACGTCACTACACCACACTTGATAGTCTCCGTATTCTTCTTCGTGATCGCTTTCTTCAATACCGAGACCGACTCGGAATCGCCAATATGCACCTCGAAACCACTCCCCGCCACACCAAAGAGCGTTACCATCTACCCAGATTCTACACGTAGAACTTTCTGTTTCTGTTAGAGGGCCCATTATTACGGTCGGATTTTTCTTATTTTGTTTCGAGATGAAGTGACGAAAAGGTTTTTGCTGGCAGGGCATGGGAAAAATAATATCAATTTTACGGGTATTATATTGACGGAATAACTTACTATTGCTTTTTTTCATACCACGTATAATACAAAATTGAGAGGAATAATATAATATATTTTGCAACCAACCGTTTGAAGCTCTACCAGCCAGTCATCTCACTAACATCCCTGCTCAACTAAGCTAACACCGCTCTCACTACCCTGTCCTCATTTCTCAATTTCATGCTTTGAGCAGAACCCTCATATTCCGACCAACACCGCCTCCCTCAAGCCACCATGACGTCCCGCCAACTCTGCGCCTTCTACTTCACCGACCTGGGCAAAGGTCTATTTAAGTGCAAGTCATGTGGGCGACCTCGGAAGCAAACACCAGACTCGGGCTACAGCAACCTGATTAGTCATCTAAATACCAAGCACGTCGGGTTTGCTGAGGAGTACGCAGAGCTCTACGCGGCAGGCACGCCTTCGCTTACCGCGTTTGGATTTGTGGATGAGGTCACCCGCAATATCTATCAATTGATGGAGTGGATTTCAGCTCGAAATCTATGTAGACAGCGTAGATTCCGAGAAAATGAAGCGAGTTGTTGGTCCAGCCGTCGAACATAAGGCAGAACGATGTCCCCATCTCCGTAGCGATAGTTTTCCGATCGAGAGAGCCACATGACGCATGTACTGCTTCAGCGTCTTGACAGTCGTGGGCTTCATGGTGACTACTGCACGCGTGGTCTTGTTTTCCACTTCCGTGATTGGTGCTGGATTGTGAGCGTTACCAGCGTCTGCTCGCTCTTTCCCCATGGAAGAGAGACAGTCAGCTGAAGCACACGTAGACCGTATCTCGGCGGTACTGGATATGTACAAGAAAGAAATGGATATGGAGAAGTTTATTGTCGGGGACAATTGCTCCACCAATCAGAGTATCTCAACTGGTCTCGGAATACCCCTGATTGGCTGCGCAAGTCATCGATTTAACCTTGCGATTAATCGTTTTCTGCAGGATTATCAGACTCAGATCGATCAAATTCAGAATCTGATGATTCAGCTCCGACATTTAAAAAAATGCAGCTGCACTTTCTAAGGCAACGAAATATAAGCCCCTCAAGGCTAATGCGACGCGTTGGTCTTCGACATTCGCATGCTGGAGCGGTAGGTCAAGATTCGCGATGCTATCTTGACAGTAGAGACCGTCGAAGACCTGGTGCCTTGCAGACATGCTCACCGTCGCGTTTCAGCGTTAGTGGATAAGTTGCGTGAGCTGGACAGTGTTTGCATGAAGCTACAGGCCGAGACGTGTACTCTAGCCGAGGTCCGCTTGCTGTTTGATGCGTATTCGGAAAATTATCCCATCATGGCCGACTATTTGCCACAATCGGCAGCAATTGTCCACACCCGTAGGTCAGGTCACATTTAGGTCACAGTTATAAACGAGAGATGACCTCTCGACATTGTTGATAGTCGTAGTGGGGGAGGTACTCGCGCGTTTGCACTCGGTCAAGCTATAAAACGACTTGCCTTTAGGGAGCGATCAACAACGTGCCATCGATGGCTTCATACTGCACACGACAGCTCCAACTACTGAAACCCCGACTAAAACCGATTTTGCTACATCCGTCCTCCGCCAAGCAAAAACGCCGCGTCTCACTCGCCGCTGTGCCACAGCTTACGACCCACTACTGCTCTGTGCGCCTCCAACCAGCTATACGTGCGAGAGACTGTTCTCTGAATGTAAGCTCGTTTTGACTTTGTTGCACTCCTCGACGCTCCCAGCGAACTTCGAGACATCAATGCTTTTGCGTGCGAACCGCAATATGTGGAACTGCGCAACTCTTCTTGGATGTCCTCAAGAGTAGGTAAAGGAGCTCGGCTCACCTCGCATTAATAATGTACTGCAATCATTGCAATAACTATTATTGTTCTCTGCTATTCTGTAAGTATTATTATGGACACTTCACAACGTAGAGTAAGATTGCTTATTGTATTTCTCATACCTGCGGACTTAGCGTATGATATGAGGGGGTGGAGCAGGCCACGGAGCGGCGCTCCCTGAGTGAAGCGAGAGAGGACCGGGCTCCCCGAAATGCCTCTTTCTCTTTGCCGCTGCTACCCCTGCGGTAGAACGGACCATCTCAGGCCGAGATGTCCGTTGCGCAAATCGCCTAAAACCGTTTCGAGTCAGGCCACTGATTCGTCGCGGGAAAACGGAGACCCCAGTAGGTATGGGACCGCCTTCTGTGGAAGAGCTAAGTCCTGTTGGACCTCATGGAGGTAGAGGACAGCAGGGCTTGACCCCGAAGAGAGCCGTGCTCTCAAACACGAATCGGGAACGCAAGCCAGGTTTACTGGTCATTGAGGCGACCGGAAGGGCTTTGAGAAGCTGTGGATCGTGTTGATCGATGGAGGAGCGTCGGGCAATTATGTGCGGCGCTCGTTTGTGGAAGTAAGCCAGCTGTATGCTGAGGTGCGGCAAGCGCATTCTCGTGACACTGTCACTGTTCGTCTTGCGACAGGTGTCTCTTTTACGGAAACCAAGGTCCCATTGGACTTGGGTGTCAAGTTTCTTGACTTTGACAGCACGGAACGCTGTTTGGTCTTGGACCTTGATCAGAGGTATGACCCCATCCTTGGTATGGCGTGGCTGGAGCACCACGAGCCATGGATCGACTGGAGGTCGAAAACATTAAGTGCTACGCACTTCTCTCCTGGTGGGGCTTGGGCAAATCATGAACCCACCTTTGCCAGGACGCAGAAGCGTTATTGGCGTGAGAGCTGGACAAAAAATCGGCCGCTCTGTTGGACGTCAGTGTGTCTGAGGTCGTGACGGACGTTGTCGAGGACCTTTGTCCTGTGTTTGCGCCGCAAGGCTCGGTTGGGCATCCGTCGAGTGTTATTGGGCGTGGCCCGAATATTGTTTGTGCGGTGACACATACTCCACTGAGATTGCTCTTGGCCGAATGGCGAGTTGCAGAGTGCTCGTTCGAGCGCTGTCGACGGTTTGTCGTCGCATGGGGTGGCATAAAATTCACCGGATCAAGGGACTTAATTGCCGGGTGTACCGGTTCCTCAGGGAACGTAAGTGCTTCTGCACTTGGCCGTGGCAACGAGACTGTTGCCATAGCGCCCTCTTCCACCCGGTTTCGGGCGCGGAGGAGGATGATACGCAGGGCGCCTGAGACGCTGTTTCCATCGTACGAGGTGTCCAGCGAGTCGAGCGATACGACTTCACGCGACTGCAATGAGTAGTTACCACACTCATGAATGGAGTGACGGGTGAAGTTGATGGTAACACCAGTTTGAATAATTTGCTGTTATGTAATACTCTACTAGAGCTAGACGACATGTCCATGACCGTTTTAGGTGATGCCTTAAAGGCTGACGATTTAGCCGAAGTGGTCATGATTCGACCTGAAGAACAACTCAACTCATCGTGGGTGGTTGACAAAGCGGTCCTGGAAGACACCACGAAGGCGCTCAGTGCGCGTAGTAGATCTGAGATATTCCAAGATCATTCAGATCCACTCCACTCACCGTTGGCTGAGTTTGGTGACGTCGTGTCAAAGACGTCACCCATGTGGCTACCTCTCAATCGAGGTGTCCGCCATGAGACTGACTTGGTTTCAGGAACGAAATACTGCGTAACGCAGCAGTGGTCTCTTCCAAAAGAGCATTGACGCTTTCTTCTGTGCCAAATACGAGGCTGGGCTGGTGCATGAGAGCAAGTCTCCGCAATCCACGCTGACACACAGTGTCAGAAAGCCAAATGGCAAGTGGCGCATCGTTCATGCGTTTAACAAGCTGAATGCAGCTACGATCCCGGCTCAGACACCGATCACTCGCAAGGATGTTCTATAGAACAACATGGTTGGGAGTACGATATACAATGGGCTCGAATTAGGCGATGGTTACTACTAGTTGCTTATGAGAGCTAGTGACTCCCGCTAGCCGCAGTTAGTACTCCGAGCGGTATGCTGTGGGAAAGGTTTGGTGATGCCCCAAGGGCTGTCGAACGCGCCGGCGACGTTTAATCGTCAAGTGGCGCAGTTGTTTCGGCTGACACACATACGTACTTCGATGACAT